TCTGATAAGATACACCAAAAGCCTTTGAAACTAAGGATCACTGATTCAAGTCCAGCTCCTTTTAAAATTGTAACTGTGCTTCATCTATCGTACTTGTCTTGGTCTTCAGAATCAGAATCTCTAATTAATGACCACACACAAACATTTGGTTTTGGTGGAATTTGATTTGGATACATCATTGAAGAGGAAACATGCTCATTTATGTCAACAAAGCATAAACAGATTATTTTGGCTGTCCTCTTGTGGCCATGTTAGCTTGTAGCAGAGTGGCAACACACACAAATTGAAACTGCAGCTGTGTGTTTAAAATCCACACTTTGATTCACACGTGTCTTTCTGTAGTTCACCACCACTGACCTGTCAGGGGCAGATCCTGCGAAGCTCTTTAACTCACCTGTGTGAGTTAAAGAGCTGAGTGGAGCTGAGGCCCTTGGGAACCTGCTAGTCGTCACAGAACCATTCTCTCACACTGGAGTCAGGTGAGCATCATCTGCAACTGGAAACACTGAACCATCTCTGCGCCACAGTCAAATATACTGTACCATTGTTCCACAGTTATTCCACTGCTATTAACTCATACAATATTCATATGGAGAAGCCGATGATGTCACCAGGCCAGATCTGTGGAGAGGGAATGCTCGCTCACGTAGATGAATGTTTTTCTCTGGTAATAAAAATACCTAAAGAAAATTAAAATGTATATGTTTAATGCCATATTGTGGAACATTCCAGTGCATCTTACCTATTGATTAGTTGTTCTACTTTACCTACAGTAGCTGCTTCTGTTGTCATTGCCTCTGAATCCTTATTTTCAGGATAAAGTGTTCACATTGTGTTTTAGGGTGTCGTTGTTTGATGGCTCAACGTGCTCATTCACAAAGGGCCTGATTATGAAAACTCTAAAACAGTAGTGAGCAGTGCCCCCATGTCTAACAGAAGGTCAGAAATAGAGACACAGAACAATGAAAACATAGTCCATGTATCTCAGCAATAACGCACTAATAATTCTTTGTATATTTTTCATTTCAGACATTACGCAACAAGGATTTCAATAGAAAAAGACTGTGCCTGACTTGGTGAATGCTGGTGGAACCTCACACAATTTACAGTTTAACTACCTCCTCTATAACACAGACGAGAGAGCAACACAGGACCTCAGTCTGCTGTTACATCTCCACCTAGAAGCCAAGGGCCAATCTTTTGACGACAGTGAGGTATAAATCAGAGCCAGAGAAAAGAACTGGGGAGTTAAAGAGGACATTTTGAATGACTGAGCTTTATTATTTTATTGTTTCACATGTTACGATGTGTTTTGAACTTAAGATGAACAAAAGCTTTTCCTTGTTTTTTTCAAAGATCAATAAATATTCAGATCCTTTTACCTGATGCAGATCTAAATGTCATTATTGTAGAACAGAACCTGTTCTTAGTCTAACTTTATTTATTTATTTATTTATTAAGGACAACAGAATATAACATTAAAATATACAACACTCAATATTTAACAATTACAATAATCAGCATAAACCAAAAGACATAAAGACATAAAACATAAAGCAACACCCACAACACCCCACAACAAATACAAAACAACAAAAACAAAAAACCCCATTTCCCCCCGACCACACAAACTAACACAAATTTGAATAAATAACCATATTACCAAATAATAGTAATGTGGTAGTGCAACATAAACACAGCACTGGGCTCACCTTACATTGACACACTGTGGCCAGTTCACAACTGAAATTTCTTTTCTCTCTTTTTCTTACTTTTTTCCCCCTTTCCCATAAAAAAAAAAAAAAAAAAAAAAATTAAAAAAATATAATATTATTTTCACCATCATCATTTTTTGTCATTCATTACAAACCCAAATCATAATTTTAAATGCTTTTTTTTTTGCCCATTTTTAAATACATTTTTAGTCCCTATACTTAAACAAATATTATTTTCACTATTTTCTTTCATCATCTTTCACCATCTGTCACAATCTCAAAGCATAATTTATTTTTTATTTTATTTTATATGT